AAAAAAAAAAAAAGTAAGTACACCCCGAGAGAAAGTTGTCGATTACGACGAACTGGACGACCGGCAGCGTATTGGAAATAACGAGTCAAACGAGAAGGAAGCAGAAAAAAAAAACTCTCGACGAGATGGATTGTCTTTCGTAACCTTCTATAACCAAGTTGTTAATTGTAACGCTAACAATCGATAATGGCGTCGTCGTTTTCAATTTCTCGGAATCCGAAATCGTTTGCGTAAGGTGTACACTCTGTTTACCGAGTTAGATAGGGAGGTTACACTCTTATCTACCGTATATCCAGCAAAAATTACTCATATGCTGTAACCCTCGGTGGCGTTATCAGTCTCAAGAGCCGCGTTCCAATTTCGACAGAATAAGAAAAATAAGATGTAAAAATATTTGTCCGTGATAAAGTTCACGTCACGTAGTTACAGCCGCCTACCTGATATAACAGGAGCTTAGCGTCGTAACATCGCGTCATTTCATTTGTAAATTTAGTCATTCTCGGCGAAATGATGATACGTGATACGTCCTTCGTCACTACGGAGATTACGGATGAAATCCGGATCACATTGAGAACGATTTCGCAACGAAACGTGAGCAAAATGCGTTCCCTCAATTTTTCGCGAACCTTGTACGTATCACGAAACTTGATCGTAGTTCTTCAGAAGGTACTAAACGCATCGTGATGTACGAAAAGAAACACACGTGTACACGAGGTATTTGTTTTCTTCATGCTTCAGTCTCGTTACATAAGCGACTGTCGAATGTGCCCACCTGAATTTGATCGCGCGATGTCTCATCAGGGTTTTCGTTTCGCGAAAACGAGAACAAATATAGAAGCAAATCTCTCGAACTTGTCGCACGAAAACACTCATTTCGCCCGGTGAAAAATATCGGACAGGGAATTTATATACGGCATTCACGAGTGGATGTTCCGTGAAGATAGTTCACCCTTTTGATGCCGACATTGCTAGTATCACGTTTCTGTACGTGAACAACGGTTGTTTGGACAAGGATTATTTGGTGAAGCGTCTTAGTAACTCGGGAAACGCGACCGAGTTTCGAAACACGGTTATGCCGGATATACCGGAACGATTCGAGCTTACCTGGAGAGATGCACGAGCGGGACGCGTCGAATTAAATCTCGTGACTTATCCAGAGGCAGAAATCGCCGTGATCGCGATCATGAATTCGCGATAGGACCGAGGGTGACGTTCCGAATCCTTTCTGCCTGGTCACGTATCACGCGGTACCAACAAACTTATACGGTATCGCGTCGTAGGAAATAGATCACGCGTATAATCTATCGCGTTATTATCGTATCAAGACTACTTTGTCATCGGCGGGGTAGCGGAGACGTCTCTTTTAAGCTTGATAGCGCGAGTTTCACGATTCGTCAACGTCGACGAAGCTCGGCCACGACGATTTTTCATCGGATCGATGGTTTATCGGCTTTATGACTTTCTGGGAAATGGTACGGGCTAGCCTGCAAGTTTTTAGCCGGACGTGTTTGTCGTTGCGCCGGGCAATGTTTCATCGCACGTCCATCAAATAAATTGCGCATCAAATAAATTAAGCATAGTCGATATTTAAAGTAGCTCGTGTGTTTCTATCTATAGCGAACGATTCTACGCGGCGATGCCCGCTGTGTGACCGTACGGAAACGAAGAGAGACTAGCGTCGAGATTGACGACGATCGAGACCTTGATTTTCGCTGAAATCCGATCGCCGATTACCGTGGAAATTGGAATTTCCGATAGTTTAGCTGCGAATGGAAGTCGGACTCGAGCCGGTTCGATTATCGTTCAGCTATAAATCAGAGAGTCGTCCAACCGGCTCGATACCGGCAAATTCCGCCGGAAATCCGCGCGTCTGCGAAACTCCGATCTAAGCTCGTGGAAAGTAGCCGAGGGCTATGCCAACTATCCGGTCCCGTGGCTACTTTACCAGTGTAAAAGCAGCTTTCACTCGAGGGGACCGAGTTGCTGTTAACTCGTACATCGGTGTCCCTCGATGAAACAAAACGGAAGTCTCGCCGATCTGCAGACGAGAAAGAAACG